GTAAGGTTTTTTACATTGATGCATGCATCAACAGAGAATTGATGGTTAGGTACCAGTGTTATAAAAGACTGCTTTAGAATTCATTGGTGTGGCATGCACTCTGTCTGAGGGTGTTTATTGGTGCGGTACCTAGGAGTTATTACCAGACAGCCTGTGTTTCTGTGCATGCGTTGGTTGCTTTGCACAGGTTGCATAGGGCTTCAAAACATTTAGGTATCTCTGCGTTATTGGGCGTCTTTTAAATATCCCAATGGTGGAAGTATATTTTGAGTGGAGTCTTATAGTTAGGAACTTCCCTAATGATTAAAGAGGCTGTGAGCAGTCTGTTTCATGTTACATATTTTCATTTTGTATATGCCTTCTTTGTAGAAATTATATTCAAGGGGGCCGGGCGCGGCTGGCTCAGCCTTAATCCAGCACTTGTGGGGGCTGAGACAGGCGAGATCACGATGGTCAGGAGATCGAAGACCATCCATGGCTCAATACGGTGATAACCGGTCGTTACTTAAAAATACAACAAAAAGACTAGCCGGCGAGGGTTGGTGGGGCGCCTATAGTCCGATGGCTACGTTCGCGAGGCTGATGGCAGGAGAATGGCGTGGAACCCAGAGAGGCAGAGCTTGCAGTGAGTGAATCCAGCACTGCACGCCAGCCTGTGCGGACAGAGCGAGACTCCGTGCTCAAAAAAAAAACAAAAAGACATGGACATATTCGGAACACTCTTTGTGCATGTTTTCAGCTAATATTTTGTATTTTTAGTAGAGATGGGGTTTCACCGTGTTAGCCAGGATGGTCTCGATCTCCTGACCTCGTGATCTGCCTGCCTCGGTCTCCTAAAGTGCTGAGATTACAGGCGTGAGCCACCGTGCCTGGCTGTGTTTAGATTTTCTAGGGTTCACAGCTGTAAAGTAAGATTCACATGTCCAGGTTGTTCCAAGCATACTTCAAAGCTTTCCACTTCAAGAGTCATGTCAGATGAATAATGAGAATTCCTTTGGAATCTAACAACAAAGGGGTCATTGTGGCGTTAGCAACAGAAGCAGCCATAGAACGGTGAAGGAAAACAGAAGTTTGGAGTGGCCTGAGGAGTTAGCTGGAGGTGAGGAGATAGGAGACGTAGATATAGATGATCTTTTCTCAGTGGTTCATAGCTAAGGGGAAGGGATAGAGACTAGTGGTGAAGGAGGGGATCCCAGGAAGTTTAGGAGTGTCTGTGTAGCTAGGAGAAACTTGAACATGTTTAAATGCCGAAGAAGGGATTCAGTAGAAAAACAGAAGTTAAAGATACGGAGTTGCCTGTAATCCCAGCACTTTGGGAGGTTAAGGCAGGCAGATCATGAGGTCAGGAGTTCGAGGCCACTCTCGCCAACATGGCGAAACCCCATCTCTACTAAAAATACCAAAAAATTAGCTGGGCATATAGATGTGTGCCTGTAATCCCAGCTACTTGGGAGGCTGAGGCAAGATAATTGCTTGAACCCGGGCAGCAGAGGTTGCAGTGAGCCCAGATCGTCCCACTGTACTCCAGCCTGGGCTACAGAGTGGGACTCTGTCTCAAAAAAAAAAAAAAAGATGATACAAGGGTTACGTTGCAATATCGGAAGCATAAAATTAACAGGAAGAAGGAATGAGGCTCAGATCACTCTTGGTGGATAAAGGAAATACATTTATTTATTTAAGAGACAGGGTCTTGCTCTTTGGCCAAGGCTAGAGTGCAGTGGCCTGATCGCCACTCCCTGCGACCTCGACCTTCTGGGCTCAAGCTATCCTCCTCGCTCAGCCTCTCTCGTTCAACTAGGACCTCAGACGTGTATCATCACCCCCAGCTAACTCTTTAATTTTTAGTAGAGATGGGGTTCTCCCTATGTTGCCCTGACTGGTCTCAAACTCCCGGGTTCAAGTGGACCTCCCGCCTCAGCCTACCACAGTGCTGGGATTACATGCGTGAACCACCATGCCTGGCAGGAAATCTCTTTAAATACAATTAAAGGAAATTTGGAAACATTCGATGCTTATCAGGGATATTTGCAGATTTGGCAACTCACATCTTTGGGAACCATCAGGTAAGTTAAGGAAAATTAAATATCTATGAGGAAAAAAGAAATCTGGAGAAAATTTTGCAACAGGTTTTGGGGAAAATCAAGGGGTAAACATAACAATGCATACACAGAAAATAAAGTTTCTATGCATGATGGATTCTTCCCAGTTGATGGAGAATATTTTGTATTTACAGTGGCACTAAGACGTCATGTCATGTGATTCTTTTTTCAGCAGTGGTCATATGACGGTGGTAGCCATGGCGTCACAGATAATAGGGACTGTCCAAGCTTGAAGTTTTACAAGGTGGATATGATAAGTGGTAAGGAATTTTGGATTAATCTAAATGAATTTTTTTTAGATAGGGTCTCATTCTGTGCTCAGGCTGGAGTGCAGCCGTGTGATCTCCGCTCACCACAGCCTCCACCTCCTGGGTTCAAGAGATTCTCCCACCTCAGCCTCCTGAGTAGCTGTGACTACAAGTGTGCACCACCATGCCCGGCTAATTTTTTTGTTTTTGTTTTGGTAGGGATGGGGTTTCACCATGTTGGCCAGGCTGGTCTTGAACTCCTGGCCTCAAGTGATCCACCCACCTCGGCCTCCCAAAGTGCTGAGATTACAGGCGTGAGCCACCGTGCCTGGCCTCTAAGGGAAATATTGAGGTCACAGACTGCAGAATCCAAGAGTGCTAGGAATCAGAGGAGAGAGAGGAAGGTGAAGATACGGAGGTCTGGAGTGATTCAAATATCCAAATCATAGATACCTGTTCCTCAAGGTGTGTTCTTCAAGAACAGGTATCTGTGGTATGGGTATTTGAATCAAAAAACCTGGAAATCAGAAATTTATAGTGAGTGAATAAGTTTTCTGGTTTATTTATTTATTTATTTATTTATTTATTTAGAGACAGTCTCGCTCTGTCGCCCAGACTGGAGTGCAGTGGTGCGATCTCGGCTCACTGCAGCCTCCAGCTCCTAGGTTCAAGCGATTCTCCTGCCTCAGCCTCCCGAGTAGCTGGGATTACAGATGCGCACCACCACACCCAGCTAATTTTTGTATTTTTTGTACAGATGCGCACCACCATGTTGGCCAGGCTGGTCTTGAACTCCTGACCTCAAGCGATTCGCCTGCCTTGGCCTTCCAAAGTGCTGGGATTACAGGCATAAGCCGCTGTGCCGGGCCTGAATTATTTATTTTTGAGCGTGGCCGTTTGGGTTGCTGAAAATGTCTGGGGTGTGGGATTAAGGCTCGAAGAGCAGAGCAGTTGATAATTTCATTATTGACTTACAAGCTGCAGGAACTGTGCAAACCAAGAGGTCAGTTGTTAACCAGATGAATAGTCAAGTAATGCATAAGAATGACAGGATTTGGGCTGGGCATGGTGGCCCATGCCTGTAATCCCAGCAGTTTGGGAGGTCGAGATGGGAGGATCATTGAGTTCAGGAGTTCCAGACCAGCCTGGACAAGGTGGTGAAACCTCGTCTCTACAAAAACCACAATTAGCCGGGCATGGTGATGCACGCCTGTAATCCCAGCTACTCGGGAGGCTCAGGCGGGTGGATCACTTGAGCCTGGGGAGGTAAAGGCTGCAGTGAGCTGTGATTGCACCGCTGCACTCCAGCCCGAGTGACGGAGTGGGACCAAAAAGAAAAGAAAACAAAACAAAACAAAAGGCAAGATTTGAGATTTAGTAAAAGACTGCCATGTGCATCATGAGAGGGAGTATCAGGACTTGAGCATTTAAGAGTGACAAGGGCAGAAAGAGAATAAAATAGTACTCAAACAAGGAGGGGGTTTGCAGGATGATGAAGGGGAGTTTTGACCTTGAACTTTCTGTGCTGACTCAAATCTGCCTGATGATGTCCCAGGAAGCAGGTCAAGATGATGATGTCCCAGAGGGAGAGAGGAAGGATGAAAGTCCAAAACAGCTGAGATCCTTGTCCTGAGAAGACAGGCTTCATTCATCAATTTCACCCCATTTCATGATTTATTTTAATAGTGTAAGAGGAAAAGAAGCGTGATGGGCAAGAGTTCACAGAGGAAGCAACGTGACTGTGTAAACCAATGCAAATCAAAGCCTGGCTTGAACACCTCAATCCCTCTGAGAATGTCCAATTACACATTCAAGAGTCCAGTTACGAGAATTACACCCCATCCTGGCAATGAGGTCAGATACCATCAATGGGAGGAGAGCTTGGAGAAGCCTCAGCAGGTCTGCTGGCAGAAGAGACTGCAAGGACTGCAGGCTTACAGCAGCGCAGGGGAACTTTTAAGCACTTTGGATCTTGCCAATACTTTGCAAAAACTTGTCCCTAGTTACACAGGTGGATCTCTGCTGGGGGATCTTGCCGGTGGTCTGGAGCACTCCTGCCCCATGCCCCACCTTGCCTGCTCTTCAGATGTGGTGGAGATAATTCCCAGAGAGGGAGTGGGTATCTCGCAGCTCCTCTGCCAACAATTTCTGGTCACCGAGGAAGATATCAGGAAACAGGAATGGAAAGTGAAGACAGTCAGAGAGCGACTCGCAATAGCATTGATTGCGGATGGACTCGCTAATGAGGCGGAGAAAGTGAGAGGCCAAGAAGGCTGTCCTGAAAAAAGCTATGAAAAAAAGAGAAGATAGTGCAGATGAAATAAAGCGTAATCCTTTATTAACATCTCTTTACAGTGTTCACAATGAGGTTTTTTTTTTTTTTTTTTCTTTAAGCTCTTGAAGCTTTAAAATATGCCAATACTTAAAAAAGAAAAAAAAAAATTAGGCTGGGTGAGCACCTAAGAGCACCTAAGTAAGTAAGCTCAGAACAGGGCGCAGTGGCTCATGCCTGTAATCCCAGCACTGTGGGAGGCTGAGGCGGGCGATCACTTGTGGCCAGGAGTTCAAGACCAGCCTGGCCAACATGGTGAAACCGCAGTCTCTACTAAAAATAAAAAAATTAGCTGGATGTGGTGGCAGGCACCTGTAATGCCAGCTACTTGGGAGGCTGAGGCAGGAGAATCGCTTGAACCTGGGAGGCAGAGGCTGCAGTGAGCCAAGATCGTGGCACTCCACTCCAGCCTGGGTGACAGATCGAGACTCTATTTCAAAAACAAAACAAACAAAACAAAACAAAAAAATTAAACTCCTTTGTGTGACACAGGGGACTAAAGACAGTAATTTCTTTTTCAGGTGAGAGATCGGGTTTCAGGTGGGCAGGGAAAGGAGATTTTTCTTTTTCATGTTATACTCATATTTATTTACTATGTATGTGTGTATGTAGTCCAGGTTGGAGTGTGGTGGTGCCATCATAACTCACTGCAGATCAGGTATGGTGCCTCAAGCCTGTAATCCCAGCACTTTGGGAGGCTGGGATGGGCAGATTGCTTGAGATCAGGAGTTCAAGACCAGCCTGGCCAACATGGTGAAACCCTGTCTCTACAAAAAATACAAAACTTAGCTGGGTGTGGTGATATACACCTGTAGTCCCAATTATTTGGGAGGCTGAGGCAGGGGAATTGCTGGAACCCAGGAGGCCAGAGGTTGCAGTGAGCCGAGATCATGCCACTGCACTCCAGCCTGGGCAACAGAGCAAGACTCTGTCTCAAAAACAAAAAAACAAAAAACAAACCCATAAAACAAAACAAACAAAAAACAAACCAGACAAACAAAAAATCACAAACAAACAAAACCTCACTGCAGTCTTGAACTCCTGGGCTCAGGTGATCCTCCTGCCTCAGCCTCCTGAGTAACTGGGACTACAGGCACATGCCATTACACTTGGCCTAATTTTTTTTTTTTTTTTTTTTTGAGACGGAATTCGCTGTGTCACCCCCAGGCTGGAGTCAGGGCCGGATCTCAGCCTCACTGCAAGCCTGCCTCCCCGATTTACGCACATTCTCCTGCCTCAGCCTCCCGAGTACTGGGACTAACAGGCGCCGCCACCATATCGCCGGCTATTATTTTTGTATTTTTTTAGTAAGAATGGGGTTTCACCGTGTTAGCCGGATGGTCCTCAATCTCCTGACTCGTGATCTGTCCGTCTTGCCTCCAGAGTGTGGGAATTACAGGCTTGAGTCCCACCACGCGTGGCCTCGGCTAATTTTTTTCTATTCTTTGCAGAGACAAGGTCTCATTCTGTTGCCCAGGCTGGTCTCAAACCCCTAGACTCAAGCAATCCTCCCACCTCAGCCTCCCAATATGCTGGGATTACAGGTGTGGGCCACCATGCCTGGCCAGTATTCTATCATTTTAAACACATCAATCTCAGAAACTGGTAAATCCATCAAACAAAAGCAAATAATGATAAAAAGCACTGGAATAATTCAATAAGCTTGATCAGCCAAGTAGACAAATAGACTTTAACTCTTAATCCCAATAAGCAGAACGATGGTGCACTGTTAGATTTCATAACACTGAGAAATCTCTCTGTCTCTTTTCTTTTTTTGAGACAGGGGTCTTACTCTGTCCCCCTGGCGTAATCCCAGCTACTCGGGAGGCTGAGGCAGGAGAATCGCTTGAATCTGGGAGGCGGTGGTTGCAGTGAGCTGAGGGCAACAGAGTGAGACTCCATCTCAAAAAACAAAACAAAAACAAAAAAATCCCCACATTCTAGGATTCAGATGATTACCACGTGGAAGCACAGAGCAGAAAAGATGAAATTTTAAAATAATAAATTTTTAGGGAAGCTATACATAATATAGATACTGCATTCTATTTTTTTTTAGAGATGGGGTCTCTGTTGCCCAGGCTTGGAGTGCAGTGGTGCGATCATACTGCAGCCTCAACCTCCTGGGCTCGAGGGATCTTCCTGCCTCAGCCTCCCTAGTAGCTGGGACTATAGGTACATGCCACCACATCCAGCTATTTTTCCCTTTTAGTAGAGATGGGGGTCGCATTATGTTGCCAAGACTGGTCTCTAATTCCTGGCCTCAAGCAATCCTCCTGCCGTGGTCCCCATGCTGGGATTACAAGTGTGAGCCACTGTGCCTGGCCCAAAGAACCCGTTTATGCCTTCTTGGTCTACTTTCCATCGTAGAGGACCTGTGAGAGGGGTAAGATGCCACCCAGGGAACACTAATCTGGAAACTCTGGTGCATTCAAGTTTCAGAGAATGAAATAGCAGAAGAGAAACTTGCAACTGCCAGGGTTTCTTGGGGGTGGGGGTATGGGAATATAAAGGAACAGGGTGGGTGTGATGGCTGGTATAGGAGTCAGGGGTGGGCAAGTACTGAGTGACAAAGGACGGAGACCTCACACTGAAGTGGAATGTTGATTTTCCACCATGGCAATTTCTTTTTTCTTTTCTTTTTTTTTGAAGTGCATTCTTGCTCTGTCACCCAGGCTGGAGTGCAGTGGTGCAATCTTAGCTCACTGCAACCTCCACCTCTCAGGTTCAAGTGCTTCTCCTGCCTCAGCCTCCCGAGTAGCTGGGATTACAGGCACCCACCACCACACCCAGCTAATTTTTTTGTATTTTTAGTAGAGATGAAGTTTCATCATGTTGGTCAGGCTGTTCTTGAACTCCTGACCTCAGGTGATCTGCCTGCCTTGGTCTCCCAAAGTGCTGGGATTACAGGTGTGAGCCACCGTGCCCAGCCTCCACGATGGCAATTTCTGTATCAGTGAAACAAGAGGATTCCCTGAGCTCCCTTGCAGGACATGAGACAGGGGTGTGGCTCATCTGTTTGGCTGCTGGGTGCACTGAAACTCCTTATGGGATGGCGAACACAGAGACAGGCAGGTGCAGGAGCCGGGGCGAGTGCCCCTGGGCTCTGGCCCCATGGCAGTGTCCAGGGGTGTGTGTGTTATGGTGTGCTCCTTTAGCCTTGCTGTCTGTAGATGGCTTAAGTGTTAACCAGCTCAGTGCCCTTTTGGTACCCAGGTCCTTGTCCAGCATCCAGGAAGAATCAGGTCACACACAGACTTGAAGGATGAATGCGGGGTTTTATTGAATGGGGGAGGTGGCTCTCAGTGGGATGGATGGGGAGCTGGAAGAGGGATGGAGTGGGAAGATGATCTTCCCCTGGAGTTTGGCCGTCTGGTGTCTGGTCTGCTCTCCAACTGTCCCCAGCTGAACTCCTCTTGGCATTCAGATACTCCTTCTCTTCTCTCTGCTGTGTCATTCTGCCATTCCTCTGCTTGTGGAGCCGGGGGTTTGGGGTTCATATGGGTACAGGATAGGGGAGCATGGTGGGCCAAAAGGTGACAAAAGGCATGAAAACAGGAATTGCCTGTTCCCATTTAGGGCCATGGGTCTCCCGGCTTGAGGGTGGGGTCTTTGCTGGGGAACTACCCTCTTCTACCCAGTATTTCCCTGTCTCCTGTCATCAGTAATGCACTTCGGATATGTGTTCCCACCAAATCTGATGTTGACTTGTAATCCCCAGTGTTGGAGGTGGAGCCTGGAAGGAGATGCTTAGGTCATAGACATAGATCCTTCGTGGTTTGATGCTGCCTTTGCAGCAGGGAGTGTGTACTTGTGAGATCTGGTTAAGTGTGTGGCACCTTTGCTCCCCCCAACTCTCTCTTGCTCCTGCTCTGGCCATGTGACATGCTGGCCCTCTCTTGTGACATGCTGGCCCTCCCTTGGTCTTCACCATGATTGGAAGCTTCCTGAGACCTCCCCAGAAGCTGATCAGATGCTGGCATCATGCTTTCTGTACAGCCCGCAGAACTATGGGCCAATTAAACCTCTTTTCTTTAAAAATGACCCAGTCTCAGGTATTTTTTTTCTTTCTTTCTTTTCTTTCTTTTTTTTTTGAGACAGGTTCTCTCTCTGTCATCCAGGCTGGAGTGCAGTGGTGCCATCACAGTTCACTGCAGCCTCGACCTCCCAGGCTCAGTTGATCCTCCCACCTCTGCCTCCTGGGTAGATGGGACTATAGGCACGCACCACCATGCCTATTTTTTAAAATCTTTTGTAGAGACAGCATTTTGCCATGTTTCCCAGGCTGGTCTCGAACTCCTGGGCTCAAGCAACCTGCCTGTCTAGGCCTTCCATAGTGTTGGGATTACAGGCGTGAGCCACCGAGCCCGGCCAGGTACTTTTTTTTTTTTCTTTTTTTGAGACAGAGTCTTGCTCTGTCGCCCAGGCTGGAGTGCAGTGGCATGATCTTGGCTCACTGCAACCTCCGCTTCCTGGGTTCAAGTGATTCTCGTGCCTCAGCCTCCCAAGTAGCTGGCATTACAGGCGTGCACCACCACGCCTGGCTAATTATTGTATTTTTAGTAGAGACAGGGTTTCACCAAGTTGGCCAGGCTGGTCTCGAACTCCTGACCTCAAGTGATCCATCCGCCTAGGCCTCCCAAAGTGCTGGGATTACAGGCGTGAGCCACCGTTCCCGGCCAGGTATTTCTTTATCACAGTGCAAGAACAGCCTAATACAACCATTTTCACCAATTCTGGTGTTCCTAAGGGATGACATGGTGCGAAACCACAAAATACAACTGAGAGTTGCCTTCGGGACTTCATGAAGCGGGAAGATTTTTCTCTTAGTCCAACATGAACCAGTCAGCGGTCACGTCGAGGAAGGCTCAGAGACTATGTCTGACCAATATGGTTTATTTCTGCCCCAGCCAAGCTACTTTGGACCCTGGCTGGGGAAAAGAGACCCCGGGCACCGGCAAGTTCCAATCATTGCAGATCCTCCAGGTCTAGGTGTGACTGGTAGTAGCCTGGGCACTGTTGCCGGAAGCTGTATTCTTCCTTCTTCCGCCAGCGAGTGGTCGCCTATGAGGGTGAGGAGAAGGTGTGAGAATGGACTGGTCAGCCGTCCAGGGAGGGGAGGCCACAGGGGTGAGAATATGGCCAAAGCCAGAGGCCTGATGCTTCCTCTGTCTCCCTTCATTGTTTCATTTAATTTCTCCCTCAGTTCTTTTCCTCTTTTCACCACTTTCTTTCCTTCTCTCTCCTTGTTTCACTCTCGGTTTAAAAAAATTTTTCCCCCTCCGATATCCTCTTCATTTCTCTCTCCCCTTGCCCCGAATTTCTTTATCAATATATCACATATCTACCAATTATTTGTTTATCTATCATCTAGCTATCAATATTTATCTATCTGTGAATCAATTATCTATCTACCAATCAATAACTATCAATTATCTCTCACCTGTCAATCATCTGCTATTTATAATCTATCAATCATCTATCAATCACCTGTCATCCATCAATCATCTATTTATCATCTACTTATCAATATCTATCAAATACCTGTTACCTATCAATTTATCTATCAGAAATCATCTATTTATCATCTACCTATCAGCTATCCACCAATCATCTATCAACTATCAATCATCTATCTCCTATCTTCTGTCTAAATATCATTTCTCTCTCATCTCATTCTCAGTCTCTTTCTCTCTGGCTTTTGGTCCTGATCTCAGCCTCTCCCTCTCTCTGCCTCCCTTCCTCCTCTACACCTGTCTGGCTTAACTGAGGCATAACTGACATAAAATAAACTGCACAGATTTAAAGTGAATGTTTTGAATAAGTTCTGATCATAACTTATTGAACTATCACCACAGTCAACATAAGGAACGTCCATCCATCGTTCCTAAAACTTTCTTCCTGGCCAGGCACGGTGGCTCACACCTGTAATCCCAGCACTTTGGGAAGCCGAGGCGGGTGGATCACCAGAGGTCAGGAGTTCGAGACCAGCCTGGCCTACATGGT